TGTGAACTGGATCCTGATTTTTTCTAGTTTTCTCAGATATTTGGCTACAATCCTTTGAACTAATATTTTCTTTTTCTCCCTTCCTTTGACCTGAAATTATTGAGAACTGAAAAATTTTTTCGGAGCCTTGGCAAATTTCAGGTGAAGGACATGACGTAAACATGAGAAATCACCAAAGGAGCTCCTGCTTAAAAAATCTCATTGACTGATACTGTGTAAGCCGTGCAGAATTTACCTGAACACCCGATGACATTACCAGAGACATTCAAATTGCAGACCAGGAGAATCTATCAGATGGACACTGTCTGCCCTCATTCTGGCAAAAGGAATTTTGAGCCTAAAGGAATTTTCAACCTTACATTGGAAATCTTCTCAACTGACAGCCTTATAAACTCAGTAACGGGTTAATAATTTGCTGTGATCATTCACTTATTTTTTTCTGTTTTCATAGTCTTACAGCTTACTAAATACCTAATTGCTTGCTTACACAATATAGGCCTCACGTTGGGAGCTCATCTGTATCCTTGACTCTTGAAATGAGACTCAACAATTTAACTAAACAGATTTATTTTCAGGACTAAATGATTGTGTTAATAAAATATGGTGCAATGTAGAATGTAAAACTTAATTATTTAAAGTTTCAAAGGTGGGACTGAAGGGACCAAAATTCTACTGAAACTGCCCTTTTGGGATAATGACTTTAAGCTCTTTATTAAGAAACAAAACTCAGAAGGAGGCTTTGAGCTTCCCCTCTTTCCTGTCCAGGAGATTCAGACAGAGAAAGCTGCTTCAGGAAGGAGATCTTAGGATGTTCTCCTTAGCCTAATTTGACTTAAGTATGATAAATAAAACGACTTCAGCAGATGCTCTTGTCACTTAAGAATTCACAAGGATTCTAGGATCTTTGTGCCAAAATGGAGGTGGGGGATAGAAATATATACATATATTCTAGTCATTGATATTTTTCTAACCCCACCCTCCACGTGATTTAATATGAAACCAGAGTTGAAAACTGGTGGAACATTTACTGAATTTGTTTCTAAGCTTTGCCTACCTTTGGGATCATTCTATAATGTCTGTCATGTTATTTAAGCTGATTTAGAGATACAGCTAAATGAATTTCTAATTTAGTCAGTTATCTTCACTCTCCCAGGATATGTTAATTGCATGTAGGAAAGAAAACAAATCTGGGAGAGTCTCCATGTCCGTGTAGTTCATTTTTCTAAACTTAATGCCTTCTAATTGTTTGGGCATAAAAGATTGTCCTAGTTACCCTGATTCTTACTCCCTCCTTGATTAGAGACATAAAAGCCACTACAGCAATTGGAGGAGGGAGGAGTTGGGAGAGCAGGATTAGGTCTTGCTAAAAAATGGCACTCATAATTTTGTTTTTAATTTTTTCTTGAAATATATTTGCAATGATTTTAAGGTCACAGAAGAATATGAAACAGAATCTTTATCTTACATTTAATTTAGCTATTTTTAAGTAATATTATATGTTCTCTAATTTTTCTAAAAATTCAAAACTTCTGTAGCACATATTTCTTCAATCCATGGGTTTCTTTTAATAATAAGAATGAAATTGAATTGTTTTATTAAAGGAAATTTAGACTTTTACCAGCTTACTTTCTCCAAGAATCTCCGGAAATGTCCAGGTAATACTTATGTGGCATATAAAGCCATTCTGATTGTCACTCAGGTCAAAGCATGCCATCCGCAGACCCATTCTGAAGATGCTGCTAGTTTCCTACACTGGTTCACAGCAAACATGAGCAAAGGTCCTTCTTACCACTCCCCACAAACTTTACTTGAAGACTCTGAAATTGTAAAATGTCAATGCAAAGAAGTTTTACAGGTCAGTGTCCGATGGCCTGGGGACTGGCGCCAGGCAAAGTGCTCGACCATTGTCACCTTGCTCAGCCTTGTCTCCCACCCTGAACGGCCTGCCTCGAGATTGTAGATGAACTCCCATCTTGCTCTTATCGATTCACATTCAAGAGGCTCCATGCATAGCCCCCACAGGGCCAAACCCTAAGGGACAAATTCCAGCTACAACAGGCAGATATAAAAGACACAAGCCCCTACATTGAGCGCGGCTTCTAGGTCTTGACCCCCGGAGTCTGTGAACCCCCCCGGGAGTGTACCCAATAAAGCCTGATCCCTGTTTATTCGGCTGATTGGCTCTCCAGTCTCTTCTCTGTTTTATTCGGCGGCGCCCCCGATTCCTTACAGTCAGTACTATTAAGAGCTGTTCTAAATTGGAGCACTCAAATCACCCCATAGAGTTTCCCCTGATATCACTGTAATTAGCTAGTTGTTAATAAAAGAAAAGGAGCTAAGGGAAGGCCAGACATTATAGGCATGTTCCCTGCAAAACACTTGGGGAGGGAACTACATGGGAAGATACCCCATACTCAGTAAAGCAGGGATGACAAGGGGAAGCTACTTTCCTGAAAGTCACACCTGGGCACAGAGGTCGTTGCCAGAATGGGCATGGTCACTGCAAGGGCATGTAGATTTGGGATATATAATCCCCTACACAAAGAAGTTCACTCTCTTGGTGCCTCTTGGAACACTTGGTTCCTGGATCCCGCTTGGCTTCCTGGCACTCTCCCATGTGGCCCTCGGCCATGCAGACCCCACACACGATGGACTATGGACTGCAACTAGCGTGATGCTGTACTGGACCTGGCTCCAACATGGAAGGGAAATTCTGAACACTGGCTCAGATTTCAGTTCTACTGAAACCCCAGCTACACTTCTTTTATGACTGGACTAAGGGAAATGGCTCTTTGGAAACCCAGGGATATAACTCCATTGGCAAAAAGTCACTCATTCTCCCATTTAAGTTTCGGAAATTCCTTTTCTCGGGATATTATAAGGAATCCACCTCCAGCAACAACAGGGGAGAGTTCCCATGCTTTATTTCAGTGTCACCCCTACCGCATACTTACCTTCTCAGGTGCCAAGTTGCCCTGTCTGCCTTTTTCTTCTCAATCTAAGGGCCCAGAATATCCATCACCTTTGGAATTCAGGCTCCTGAAACCTAAAATGTTATATTTTATTCTTGCTTCCTAAGACGTAACATAAATGTGTTGCATAAGGGAAGGTTGTTCTAGGCCCCTTGGCTAAGGTGAGGACCTTCCTTTGCTATTTTTCCAATAATAGGTTGATTACCCCTAGAAGTAAAGGAACCTTGCCTAAGATTATGATTGACCTATGTAACAGGATATATCTTGCATAAACTCACCCTGATAGTTTCTGAGTAAGAGGAACTGAAAATCATGAGCCCAGTGACAAATGCTTATCTTGGCTTCTGTAACAATCGCATGCACAGGATAGTTCCTCCTTCAGGGTCCAAGAAGTATGTGACTTTTGCCTTTAAAAGCTTGCCCCTGAGTTCAATGGGGACTGCAAGATTTGAAGAGCAAATGCCCCCTCGCAATCGCTGGCTTTTGAAATAAAGGCTCCTTAAATTGAACCTGTGGCGTCCTCTGTTCGGTTTGCTTTTCCAATACAAGGTGAGCCCAAGTAGGACATCTATTAAAAGAACCGTCTGGTTTGAGAAGAACCATTCTGTAAGCACTGGTCATTGACAGACTTGTAACTACTTCAATATCTGGCCTTTCCCATATGCATTGTCATTGGCTGCTACTCAAAGACTGACCACTCCACTTGGACTTATATTGATTTTTGGCCAATAACTCTAGAGGTTGACAAAGAAACTGAAACTCCCTCTGTGAAAGTGACCTGTGAAAGGAAGCAGAATATGCTACCCCAAAATATACCTCTTTGGCATACAAATTATTTTGAGGAGCTGAAGACACAGAAGAAGCTCTGAAAAGAGAGTGGAAGTTACTCTTTTAATAAGGAAAATTTACATCAGAAAGGGTGCCTCTACCAGGACGAAAGCTATTATCAGAGATCACTTTTTCTTTGGAGAGACCTATCTTCATGTCAGGGCAACCTTTGTTTGCCAAACATTTACTCTTCATCTTCCTGTGAATTACTTTCCACCCCTTGTTGCCCCAGACCTGTATCCAGTTCCCTAGCTCAGGATGGTATATAAGGCGCAATGCTTTGCCCCCTCTTGAGTTCCATATGTTGTGGAGCTCCCACATGTACCTATGTAATTAAAATGGTTTTCTCTTATTAATCTGTCTTCTATTACATAGGATTCTCAGCCAAGAACCTGTGAGAATAGAGAAAAACGCATTTTCTTCCCCTATATTGAGGGCCAACATTGTTCTCCTTGGAAAACTGGCAAATGCAAGCCAGGTCTCCCTAGGCTGGCAGTGGTGTGGAAGTATTGGAGTAGCAGTTAGTTAGATAATAACAAAAGAGGGGGGAACGAATGGAACAATCACCCTGGGTGTATCCACCATTCTTCCCAACACAGCAAAACATCCTGCTTAGTTGACTAGGCAGCAAGGATAGTTTTACAGCCACCCAGAAGGTTAATTGGCATCATTTGCCAGACTAATGGGGGAAGGGAGAAAACTGCAAGGGAGGGATTCCTTTTACATGGTGCAAGGCCAGTAGAAACCAAGTGATAAAACAGAACAACGAGGAATGCGCAGTAGGAGGCAAAATGGCAACCATACAGCGGGGAGGGCACCTGCCTGGGAAAATCTGAAAAAAATATTGGATGGGGAAGGGCACAGGGCCTGGAGATTACAAAAAAGAGTGGATAGCGGGATGGCACTAGCACAAGCCTGGGAAAAGCCAGGGAGTGGGTGGTCTGAAAGAAACCTGCTCTCCCCCAAACCCAAGAACATGTATGGAAACTAGACAAAGAACACAGCACACGCCCTCCTGGAGCCCGCCTGTGCCCTTCCTTCTCTCAGGCCCGAATATTTGCCTCCTTTCCTCCTAAACTCTAAGGGTCCCCACAACACGGGAGCAGTGTGCAGCAGCAGAAGACCCTCCTTTTGCCTCTGTAACTTCCTTTCCTGAGTCCAGGCAGCTGCTACCCTGCAGCCTGCCTGCTGTCTTGGCCTCTCAGAGTGTACTGTCGCTTGTCACTCACTCTAATAAATCTTGCCTCTATCACTAAACTCCTTCTACGTGAGTGTGCCGGAAGTCCTTTTCCCATGACACCACAGAGGAGCCCATTTCATTTCCTAACCGTGCCAGGGCAGACCAGCCTTGGTACCAGTCCTCTTCTGGTAACAAACGGGTTCTCAAACACATTAAAATGCAGCAGAAAGTGGTTTTATTGCTGTTAATGCAGTGCAACAAAGCTTCGCTGAAGTTCCAAGTTAGAAATACGGAGGTCTGGACCCTTCTTTGCCCTCTTCCTTATTGCCTTCCTTTGAAACACACAGAGCTCCAAAGCAGAAAGGAATGTTATTTCTATTTGTCCCAATCGGGTCCGGTGTCCTTGACCCTCTAATTCTCCCAATAGCTTCCTTTATTTTTCTGTAGGAACCAGGAAAACAAACACAAAAAAAAGGGGGGGGGAGCAAAAGAGCTCATAAGAGAACCTGTACCAAGTGAGAGGAAAAGTGATAACTTTAAATAATCTTATCTAAGTGTACAGGAACAAAATGATAGGGAGGGCCTGGTCTTGGAAGGGGGTCACAGGCAATGACAAAGAACTTGTACTGGGCATCATCACTGTACTGGCAGTCAGGATAAGTCCCTCCAGTGTGATTGCAGGTAGTCATGGTAACAGGCTTTGAGCTCTGGTGGCAATTGTTCCAGCGATTCTTGCAGCGTGTCGTGGGCAACATGCAGGCAGCAGCCACATTCTGGAAGGAGTCGTGCAGAAAGGTGTTTAGAGACTTACAGCGCCGAATATGTATATTGACACGCTTCATTGCATGAAAGCATTGGAGAGGGCCTGAATGTATATGCTGAATATTAAACCACTGAACCTTGGTGAGATTCGGAGGCAAAGCATAAAGTGGACACACTGGCCCCCATAGTCCCAGCAGCAATAGGAGGAGAGGAAAGCGTTCCAGGAGTTCTAGCGCCATCTTTTCTGTGTAGAAAGAGGGAAGATAACAGTTGTAGTAGAAGCAATAAAAGCAAAATTATTATTATAACCATTTAGATTTTTATTGTGCCATTTAAGATTTCATAGCTCTTTTTTTTCTTTTCCTAACCATCTTCTTTGTCACTTGAGTCTTACAATTCTATGACCAATCTGAAGGCCAGTGAGGACGAATATGAAGTAAGACCTTTCCTCTTATTGGCAAATCTGATTCGTCTCTTTGTCCTGTACTCATGTGTTTGACGGTCCCCCGTGTCAGAAACCTTGTCTTTTCCCTCTTTCCTCCTGAACTATGTACCCTCCATCTGACCTGGACCTCCCAGCCATCTTCCCTGTCCCTGTCTTCCCAGCCCGGAGGTTCTCTTACCAGGTTTCCACACTGGGGCTCCCGCTGGAAACAGAAGCAGTAGATGGTCCCAGGCCCAGAGGCTTCTGCAGGCTGTTTCTTCCCCAGGCAGCCCAGAGCTGCCCGCCTGTGGCAGAGGAGTTCTCAGCCCTGAGCAAAGGGTAACATAGGGCTTGGAAGACTTTTGATGAGATGCTTAGACCTTCAAACTTCCTGTTTAAAATCGTATCAATATCACTACAGATATAGGAAGAGTAAGCTTACTTAAAAAAACAGTGTGACTCAAAGCTCACATTTTTGAGGAACTGATCACTTCCTGATATGGGAGGAGTGCTTCCTTCCTGATCTGAAGCTTCAGTTTTTTGAAGCCCTATGATTTCAGTTTCTTAAAAGAAAATATACCAAGCAAACCTGATACAATAGCTGCTATATAGTTGGTAGTGTTGTCAGTTCCAACAAAAGACTTGCAAAAATTATTCATTTATGTGTACTTTTATTAGACCACATACTGTGCTACTCAGATTCAGGAGCTTGTGATCTAGTGAAAGAGACGAATACATTATACATTAACAAGTGTAAATAGCACTTCCAGTTCTGATGGAGAAAACAGAAGGGGAGGGCGAGGACAGAGGAGAGAGGAGAAATCATTGGAGGGCACAACACCTGAACTGAAATTTGATAATTAACTAGGAGCTAGGTGAAGAGGATGGTAAGGGCATCCTCAGAAAGAAACTCAGTGAGAAAAGACCCATATGCATGAAGAAGAAGAGAAAATGTGGGGTATTTTCCTATTGAATCTATTCTTACCTTTCCATTGGTGCTGCAATACCCCTTTTCAGAATCTCCTTGTCTCATGGAGGGCTCACAAGAAAGCCTCCCACATGGACTCCCTACCTCTAGACTCTCCTTTCAACCCATTCTACATATTACCTGCAGATCAGTCCCTTCAGCATAAATATAGTAGTGGAACACTCTTGTCTGATGCTTTTATTTATTTATTTATTTATTTTTTTATCCTCGCCCGAGGACATTTTTCCATTTTTTGTTCAGATAGAGCGGGGGAGAGAGAGAGAGAGAGAAACATCGACGTGAAGGGACACATCGAGTGGCTGCCACCCGCACGACCAACCAGGGCCGGGGACAAACTGCAACCGAAGTACGTGCCCTTAGCGGGGACCGAACCCGGGTCTCTCCGGACCACAGGCCGACGCTCTAACCGCTGAGCCAAACTGGCCAGGGCTTGTCTGATGCTTTTAATGGCTTTGATTATCTACAGGATAAAAAATGATGTCTGCTTATAACAAAGTTTCAGGAGACAAGGTTAATATACCAAAATCAATTGTTTTCTTACATATCGACAAGGAAAATTGGATTTTAAGATAAAAAGAACCCCACAAACATTTACATTAACACCAAAGAGAAATGACATACTTAGTTATAGATCTAATACAGTATCTACAAGATCACTACAAGGAAAGCTATAAAGCTCTGACAGAAGAAATAAAAATAGGTGGAAATAAGTGGAGAGATATTTTATGTTTATGCTGAAGAAAACCAGAATATGTCACCCCCCAAAAAATATGGCTCTTAGACATAAAAATTATGTGTTTCCTTATATTGGCTGCCTCTCTGCGTTTGTATCCATGTATTAAGTGGCACTGTTACATCTCCTGGTCTTGGTAGAGTGGCTTTATGTAGTAGATGTCTCGTAGGGCCCAGTGGTGCAGCCTCCCCAGTCACCTTAGCTGGGCACCTAGATGTGCCCCCTGTGTGGGCTGTGTGCACCTTCCTGTTGTGGTTGAGCCTTTATTACTGTTGACATGTCAATGGGAGGCCAGTTGGCTACAAGGACTGGCCATAACCACTGTGGAGGATCTGCTGTGCAGAGGTTAACCCCACAGAGCAGAACTCACTTCAGCGGGGCTCAGGTACCTGCCGAGGCTTCCCCCTGAGTGTGTCGGTTGGGTGGTACTTCAGTATGGTCTGAAGCTGTCCCTTGGGTATGCTGGCTCTGGGGCCTCCAGGGAGGTGTGAGCAAAAGTCAACCACAGCCTGTGCCTTGCCGGGGGCCACCTGGCATGAGCTACAAATAGATCTGCAAATGACTACTACTTGTCCTGGGCTTGGAGGTGCCAGGAGAGGCCAGGCTGGGAAGCACGGCCAGCTACTGCCAGTGCCAGGCCTGGGGGCCACTTAACAAGATATACAGGGTTTGCAGAGGCTAGATGCTGCTTGTTTGAGAGATTTTAGGAAAGTTCATAGCACCAGCCAAGAGAGGCCATTTGTATGGAAAAGTCAGTGGAATGGGTTTGGGTGGGTCGGCAGGTTGGGGCAGAGTAGGGAATCACCAGCGCAGGTGGAAGAGTGTTATCCAGGTTGGTAGAGACTCAGATGTGGCGCCCATCTGCCAGCTTTGCAGGGCAGAGCTCAGCAAAGTAACAATGGCCCCTGTGAGAACTTCCGTCTGGGATAAAGCTGCCTTTTAAACTCTAACCCAGAAGCTAAACAATTCAGTTTCTCCCCATGTGTCCCCGGAGCCTTTTGAGCTGATGCCCCAGCACTGGAGCTCAGAGCAAGAGAGTTTGAGTAAGTCTGCGAGTGGGCCCTTGCAGAGGTAAGCCTGGACTCCAGCAGCCACAATCCCTGCTGGTTTGTACAGCCTGAAGTTATGGGGACTTCTCCTCCCAGAACTGGAACCCTGGGCTGGGGAGCCTGGTGTTGGGCTGGGACTCTGGCTCCTTAGAGGGTAACCTCCAACACTGAAATATCCCTCTCAATTTTTAACCACCACATGGTAGAACCAGCCTATTCTGAGCCTCTGCCCTTTGTACCAGTCTTGATGTGGTTCTTGATATAATTAGTTTTAGGACTTCTGTTCAGCTACATTTCAGGCAGTTCTAAATGATGGCTGTTCTGTCATCTAGTTGTAATTTTGATGTGGTTGTGGGAGGTTCTGAGAACTGAGTTTACCCGCTCTCAGCATTTCTTAGTTCTAACTAGTCAAAACAGGAGATCAAATTAGTATCATATGACTTTCTGGTATATCTGTGCTGACTTCTGTTCATCATCCCTTTCAGGCTAAGTCCAAACAGTGAATCAGAACTTTAATAGCCCTGTTTGGAATGTTTGGAATGTTTCTTGGAGTCAGTGTATTGTCCATTTACTTCTCTTATGTTTTTACTTCCTCTGACTCTTTTACAGGCCAGACCACCCAAGTATCATATTCTAGCCTGTCCTTACAATTATCTCAGGTGATCGTTCAAGACCTACCACTCATGTCCTTTTCTCCCAGACTTCTTGTGCTCATTGTTATTTCTGGTTTTGAATATTTTGCAACATATTTGTAGATAACATTTTGACTCAGTTCCTCTTAGATTTAATAGTCCTCTGTTTGGACTTTCCCATATTTAAAAAAATAAATGTGGTTTTCATTAAAAAAAAAAAATCAAGTTTACATAATAGTTGCAAGTAGAGTTTCAAGAGGGCCTTTTCCATGAACCACTTCAGACGTAAAACATATTGAGGACACAATGCCAGCATCTCCTGCCACCACTTAACCCCACCAAATACACTAGTCAGTATTTCATACAAATAAAGACATTCTCCTACTTAACCATAATCACCAAACAGCCATCAATACAGGAAATGAACATTGAGACATTACTTCCATCTAATGTTCAGATCTTATTCAAGTGCTGCCATTTGCCTAATGTTCTCTCTCTCTCTATCTCTCTCTCTGTTTCTTGTTGACAGTATTACAGATATCCCCCATGTCCCCTCCCTTTGCCCCCCTCCACCAGCCACTGCCTCACCCCAGGCCTTCCTCACACTATTGTCTGTGTCCATAGGTTATATATGTTCTTTGGTTAATCTACCCCTATAGTGTCTTTTATAGCAAAAGAGCTCAGTTCAGAATCACATGTTGCTTTTAGTTGTCATGTTTCTCTATTTTTATATTATTATTTAATTGATTAATTTTTGTTGCAGATGTTTCTCCTTTTTCCCTCACTGATTCCCCCCCTTGCCCTCTCTGCTGTGTTCCCAGCTTTGTTGTCCATTGTTCATGCATACATGCATATAAGTTCTGTGGTTTATCTCTTCCCCACCAACCCCTCTTCTGGGGATTGTCAGTCTGTACCCTACTTCCACATCTCTGGGACTACCCCATTCCTCAGACTGTTATGTTCATTATATTCCACAAATAAGTGAGATCATATGATACTTGTTTTTCTCTGGTTGGCTTGTTTTGCTTAGGATAATACTTTCCAGGTCCTGCCATGTTGTCTCAAAGGATAAGAGATCTTTCTTTCTTATAGCTGCATAGTACTCCATTGTGTATATGTACCACTGCTTTTTTATCCATTCATCTCTTGATGGACATTTGGGCTGTTTCCAGATCTTAGCTATTGTAAATAGTGCTGCTACAAACATTGGGGTACATAAATTCTTTCTGATTGGTTTTTCAGGCTTCTTAGGGTATATTCCTAGAAGCGGGATCACTCGGTCAAATGGAAGTTCAATTTTTAATTTTTTGAGGTAACACCATATTGTTTTCCATAGCGGCTGCACCAGTCTGCATTCCCACCATCAGTGTACTTGAGTCCCCTTTTCTCCACACCCTTGCCAACACTTGTTGTTAGATGATTTGTTGATGGCGACCATTCTGACAGGTATGAGGTGATACCTCATTGTTGTTTTAATTTGCATCTCTCTGATAATTAGTGATGTTGAGCATTTCTTCATATGTCTCTTAGCCATTTGTATGTCCTGTTTGGAGAGGTTTCTATGTAGTTCCTCTGCCCATTTTGTAATTGGGTTCTTTATTTTCCTTTTATTGAGTTGTATTAGCACTCTCTCTATATATATATTGGAAATTAATCCCTTATCTGATATATCATTGACAATTATGCTCTCCCATACAGTGGGTTGCCTTTCCATTTAGATGGTTGTTTCTTTTGCTATGCAGAAGCTTTTGAGTTTGATGTAGTCCCATGTGTTCATTTTCTCCTTTGTTTCTGTTGCTTTAGGTGATGTATCAGTGAAAATTCTGCTGCATGTGATGTCTGAAATTTTGTTGCCTACAGTTTCTTCTAGGGTTTTTATGGATTCATGAGTCACATTTAAGTCTTTTATCCATTTTGAGTTTATTCTTGCATAGGGTGTAAGTTGATGGTCTAGTTTCTTTTTTTTTTTTTTGCATGTAGCTGTCTAATTTACACAACACCATTTATTAAAGAGGCTGTCTTAACTCCAGGTATGCTCTTGCCACCTTTTTCAAATATT